ACACCCTCCCCCCCATCAAAATGCACTTCACTGGAGCCAAAGAACATGGAAGGGCAACCAAATAACCTAACAGCAAACGGCCTAAAAACTCCACCACCCTGCACACCTGCCTCTGGCCCCTGGAGAACAGTATCTGAGTGCTGGAAGCAAGTTAAGTCTAGTTGCATGTTTTCCTGGCAGAAGCTTTAGTCACAGGGTTAGACACAGACTAAAGCCCAAAATGTATTCAAAGGCTGACTAAGGATATCGTCTCCCTCCCAGAAAACCAAGTCATACCAATGTGCCTGGACAGTGAAAAGCCTGGATGGTCTCGGATACACTGAAATGGATGTGGTGATAACTTTCTCGAGCTCTGGCTGCCTTAGCTCAGTCCCAAATTTGGTTTCTGTTAGGGAAACTCGGACTCACACATACACATACACACCTAAAAGGCAGAAGTAAGTGAAAATGAGCATGAGTACTACCTTAGATAATGCAGTAGTATGCTTCTAGAAAGTTCTTTAGAAAAGAAATGTTGTGAAAGCAACATTTTTATAGTACATAAAGAGTGGTCACTATTTCAAAGACTCCTAAGATAAATATCTCTGTAGTGACCACCCCGAAGGTACCTGTTTCATATGAATTTCTGTTGGCTTAGAATAGCCTTTCTCATTAATTCCGGACAAGCAGGCTGAGTCACTTGCCAGACAAAGCACTAAGCTCTTCCTGACAATATGACAGAGCATCAAACTGGAAAATAAAATTCTGGGCCGTGGGAAGAGCATGACTTTCAAAGAGCCACTCCTTCTATCACGTATTACAACAAAAATGATTACACTTACGGAGGCATCCTATCCAAGTTCATTATCAGAAAATCATACAGACAGACAGGTTGTCCGAACACAGAAGAAATAAGAAATAAAGCATTTTCTTTTAAACCCTGTGAAGACAGTCCTCGGGTTTCCAAGCACTATATCAACCTGACGTTTTCCAGTCTGAAGAGTGCGGTGTCACCACCTTGCTTAATTCTGCACCAAATGAAGCCTAAGATGATTACTTCTCCTAAAACCTTACAAATGATGCTGTGTCTCAAAGGGGGGAGGGAAGGTGCTGAATGTGTTTCCTAGCCCCAAATAAAATCAATCTATGCAGAGATGTACAAGAGTTAGAGATTGATATTGGTTGGTCTTCCACCTCAAACTGAAATCATTTCCATCCAGAATTGGGTCTCTCTGCCTGGAAGTCCCACAGGCGTGGGTACAGGCTCTGGGTCCAGACAGCCCAAATCTGGAGCCTGACTCCACCACTTGTTCTACGTGTGCCCTGGGCAACTACCTTCCCCTCTGAATCTTAGCTTCTAGTCTGTAAAGTGGGCGTAAAAACAGCACTTCCCCATGGGGCTGTGGTGAGAACTGAATAAGTCACAAAGGGTTGGCACTTGGCACCTGGCCTGGCACTTGGCACCTGGCCTGGCACACAGAAAGAACTCAGTACACATTAGTTTCTGATTTTATATCCACAGTCAATAAAAATGTACATTATTCCCATGAGTTTGTACCACTGGAAACAGAACCAAGTATTAGCCTTATTCTCACATGTTGGCTTCATAATAAGGTGGGAGTTTTTCATGGTTGGAACCAGGGCCCTTAATTTTCCCTTTCTTAACCAAAAGTTCTGAGAAAGGAAATAAATAGGGTGTCCCCAAAAAGTACACACACTTCGAATGATTATAAAGGCAGTGTTTATTAAAATACATTTCATTTTCAAAATGTAATAGAATCAGCTATTAAAGTATGTGTACATTTTTAGGGAATACCCTGTATGTCCACAAGTAGAAGGGGTGATTTTAAAAAAGTAAAAATTCTGTTTTCTATTGAAATAGCAAAACTACTTTTTAATATAATGCTCATAATAATGCTCTCAAGGCAAACAAACACTATGTTCAACATAATAAATACAAACTTCTCCCCTGCTTAACTTTTATTTTGAAATACCAGGCCTAAAGAGCAGAAAGATATAGAGGGAAGAGGGCACACACAGTCTGAGTGAAAGCAATGTGCTATCTGCTCAAATATAATAGGTACAGCCCTGCCTGCTCTGCTGTCATTGTGAGTCTCTACTCTCAACGCCCCCACGTCACCCATCAGACACAGATGCCAGCAAAAGATCCAGAGACACCAGGTCCAACTTTTGTTCTGTGACTAACTACCTGACCAAACAGTCCAACTCCTATAAAATGAGGATAGCAGCAGTATCTACCTGGTCCAAGGAAACATTTCAAACGTTTTTGAAGCAATAATCTTACAGTTAAAACAAAAAAAATAATTTTAAACACTGTATGAATTCGATGTTGCGCTCAGGTCAGAGACTATGGAGAAAATTAAATGTGAATTCTCTAAAGTTATGGCTCTAGAGCTGCAATTTAAATGCCTTTTCACCCACCATGATGCACCTGGGGATGGCCATTCCAGTTCATGTTCTTTATTACACAAATAAGAGGTAACAGACACAGAAAGGGTATGAAGGAAAGCCAGCGTGGCTGTCCACAAAGTCCTTCCTAGGAGCCAGGCACCGTCCTGAACACTTTACACTGATTCATTAATCCTCAGAGCCACCCGGGCGCTGGCCGTCTGCACGCGCCCCGGAGCACAGCAGCCCCGCAGCGCACAGTGCTCACTGGTTACACTCACCACTACCAGCCACGACACGGGAAAAGCCAGAGGCCTGAGAGGGAGAGAAAGTCAGGAAATCTTACCACAGGGGATCCTGAGAAAAAGACAAAGACACTGTGCTCCAGAAGGCGGGGAAGGAGCTCAGGTCGTTAATCCAACAGGACAGTGGGAGGAGGCGACTGGCGGGATACCAAACGGCAGAAAGAGGCAGAGGTTGACCCGCCTCCATGTCAAAGGCAGTTCTCTGCTATTTTGATCCTCTTAGTGTGAAATGATCATTTTATCACAAAACAGAGAAAGTAAAGTTAGCTGGACTTCCTTATCAGCTTAGAGCAAGATGAATGACGTTAACTTCTCACTTCCATAATTAGCAAGCATGACCTTTTAGAACTCGTAAAGCCCCTCAGAGCTGAACCTCTCACGGGACAAACCTGAGGTGCCTATGATCTCCAGGCCGTGTGAGGGAGGCAGTGTGGTCCTGTTGGCTGTACCAACAGTAGTCACAGTAGTAACGGTACTAGAAGTACCAGCAACGGCCGCAGTCAAGCAATGGCTGTTGATGTTTACCGCATGCCTGTTATATGGATGCTAGCCACTGCTGAGGTCATTGGATATAAAGAGCCCTCATTTGATTTCACACAGAAATGATGAGGTGGGTTATATTTGTATTCCGCTTGAAGGAAACTGAGTCTTAAAGAGGTCTGGTAACTCGACCAAGGTCACAGAGCTTGAGTGATGACCTGGGAATTTCAGCCAAGCCCGATGATCCCAGAGCGTGTACTCTTCACAGCTGGACTACTCTGGTGCTGGATGGTTGGAAGCTTTTGTCCACACATTTTTTCAGTTGTTATTTGTTTAGTTGAAGTTTTTGTTTTTTGTTTTCAAACTGCCCCTAGGCCTGTGGAATAGGGGCCACTCTTTAGAATGAGGACAACTTGGATGCCTCAAGAACAAAATTCAGCATTAATAATAAGAGCCACTGAAGTAAGGAGGGAGAAGATGGAAGAGTCAAGAATGGCCAGCGACTGACAATTATTAAAGCCAGGTGATAGGTACAAGAGGGTTCTTCTAATTTTCTCTCTACTTTGGGCTATGCTTGAAAATTTTCACAATAAGAAGTTTGAAAATGGCTTTCACTATTGAGAGTTCGTTAAGTTTACTGGCTCATTTCCTTTCATTTGTTTTACTGGGTCACACTTTACATGGTTTAAAACTCAGCACGCTATAAAAGTTAGACACTAAGCAGAGAGGAGTAGAAGACAAATCAAAGAGATGACTCAAGGCTCACCCTTGCGTTAGGGGTGTGTGTGTGTACCTTGTGCTGAAACGCTTGCATTTCTAGTAATAACTCTAAACCCTCCGATTCATCTAGAAACAAGACGGGGACCAAGGACTGCAACCAACTTTGGTTTAATAACTAAATTCATGTGAAGACCCTAAACTTATGCTAAGAGAAAACAGGGCTCTTCCCCTCCAACTCAAAAAGCAGATTATGCTGATTCGACATTTGGGGCAAACTTCAACACTCTTCAACAACAGATGAGTTAGGCCCATGTTTGTCACCAAGGATGTTGCTATTAATATTTAATGCCTGGAGCCAGAAGGCTGAGCGCCCTTCAATGACAGGGACAGTCTATTACAGGGAAGGACTGTCCAGCCAAAAATGCCAAAAGCACTCATAGCTGAGGGGATTAGTTGAGACAGACCTCCATGGACATAGGGTAAAACAAGAGTCAACATGGATATGGCTGCATTTTACCTCAGGCCACTCAGGTCATCGAGGGGCAATAGCAAAATGAGAGGTTCTATACATAGAAGGGGCTCCCTGATGCATTCACTCATTAGACGCTTACTTGTCCACGTGCCAAACCACTGTTGAGAACAGCCAGGCAGGGTCAGATTTAAGAGAAAATAAGTCCTAGATTTTAAGAGTTCACAAGTCTTTCAGCCACCTCTTCAGAAATAAAAGCTTAAGTTAATGTGTACAATGTTTTAAACTTTCAAACTCCTCGAAAAACTCTCAAAGGGCTTTTCTTGCAGTTATATAAATATCACCAATGTTCAATCTAAAAGGTGAAAAATATAATAAAATTAAAAGTAAAACTGTTCTTTATCAAAGGGCTATACTTCTAAAATAACATTTCTAGGATGATCTAACAAAGGTTTATCAGAACAACAGGAAAACGTGTTACGCCTAAGAACCAAACAGTCTATAATAAGGCAGCCCAAATACATTCTTAAAATGGACTGCGTGCAGTTACTCATTTCTCAGGGACAATTCTATATTCCTTGAAGATGTAACACTTCTGTAAACAAGTAAAGATTTTTTTTTATCTTTATCAGCTTTACCTGCTATTTGTACTGAACCATCCTCACCCAGAAGAATATTACCAGCTTTCAAATCCCTATTAGGAAAAAAAAAAGAGAATGAATTGTACAGTACCGATATTATATTGCATTAACTCACTCAGGGAGATTTTAAAGCCAATCACAGAATGCAGCTATTTGGCATTATTTTATGAACACTAAAATTATATAACGGATTTCAAGAATTACAAGAAACATGGGATTTTATAGTTTGCTCCTAGAGTATGGTTAGGATTTTAGTAACAAACATGTCATGTGAAATCATTATCCAGGTTTAATTAAATCATTATCCAGGTTTAATTAAATCAATAGTGAGTAGATTATTTTATGTTAGAGACTGTCCATATATTCACAATACTACTGTTTTATCAAGAATTGAAGCCCAGCCTATGTAAAGCTGTTCTATTTCTGCTCAAATTTGTCTGTGGTGTAATTCTAAATTCTATCAGCCTCTTAAAAAATTGATTTGATCAGTCTCTCCTCTGGGGAGAGACTGATTATGAACACTACTTACAGAAGTGTGCTGAGTAGTCTTAACACTTAAAAAAATTACAATCGATAAGTTTGAGTTCTAAAGTAATATTTTCTCTAATTATTGAAAGAATGTAAATTGCTCACTTATAGTTTGGGATAGGTTAAATTAAAATATTACTATTATTGGTAGGTGGTTATTTATTTGCAACTATTCCTAAGAGCCCAAGTAACGCTAACCCATCCAAAACACCAGGCCCTCACATTCTATGCTGTTTGGCTATCTAAATTGGCATTTTATGTCACAAAGCAGATAAAATCAGTGCCTCCTCCTTCCTTCCCTCTCCATCATGTCAAAAATAATTAACATATTACAATGTCTGAAATAGTCTTGCCTGTATAAGAAAGTCAAAAATGATATCCAATGCAAATGAGCATACCTCAAGAGCTGCATGTTAACTCATGTTTTATAATGAGTCCACTCAGTAGTCTTTATATTCTGTTCTTACTTCAGTGAAAGCAGATAAACCAATTCTGAGGACACCAATATAGTTCATAAAATTTACTTTCTTATTTCTTTCCTAAGTACTTTTCCCCCCATCTATTTAGCCTAAGTTAGAAATAATGCCAATACCTACCCACCTGCAATATGTCTTTCCTTAAGATTCTTTACTAACTAGGACTAAAGATATAGCTGAATTTGAACATCTCTGCAGAGGCCATACCTGTGAATCTGACCATTTCTGTGTAGATAGTCTAAGCCTTCCAGAACCTCTTTAAGAATTGTTGCTATTATTGCCTCTTCCAGAACCCCGTTCTTATGTTCACCTCGGTTGACGATGTATTTTATGATATCCAACATTGAACCTAAGTGGACAGACAGAAGACATGAAAAAACTGGGTAAGCATCTTCATTACCTTTCCAAAATGGGGATTCCTATTTAGAACACTAAATAAGAACATAAAAATGTGTTTTTTGTTTACTTAACACAAATACTCCCAAGGCACACACACACTCACATGGCAGCCCACAACCAGACACACTAAACGCAAGTTTGCAGGCTCACTTTCAGTTGAAGTAAATGAGGATTCTGGGTCAGGAACCGGAAGACTATTCAGGGCCATTTCCCAGTGAACCCCTTTTTCCCTAGACATACAATTGGTTACAGACTCAAAAGAGAGTTCAAGATGTCTGAGCTGAAAAAGAAAGGACCAGGAGGCCAGGAGAGAAGCAGCAGTGAGCTTCCCAGAGTGAGCAGCACAGTTCTTCTGCAAAGTCTGAAACACAGGTGAAAAGGGAGAAAAGAGGAATATTATCCTGCCTCTAGGCCCTGCTGACAACCAGAAGGCTCCTTTCCATGACGCTAGGCAATCTTTACTTTTACTTGCTTGATGCGTGACTTTTATAATAAAGAAATGAATACATGATAAACAGATCGGTATCCTTGGCACTGTAAATCCATGTTTCAACACATAGTAATTAATATTCCAAACCTCTGGGTCATTTTAAACGCCGTAATTACCTGGGGTTCAACATTTCTGAGGAATTAACAAATGGATTACCTCAGGACCTGAATTTGGCTCTAGGCTCTCAATGATTAACGAGGCGGACTGAGCTTCTCCAGCACTTGCTCCTACACCAGGCTAACCACCCACCCCTCGTTAAGAGACTTAATGTGATAAAATATTGTAGAAGAAAACAAATGCACATTTTCTGCCTCAGAGAGAAAAGAAACATCTGTTTATTCATTGACTCTTGGATCTATGGATCATTCAGAAAATTATACTTCCAAAGCCATTTTTTTTTACCTTATAAGGATATAGCATACTAGGCGTGCAGTCTGGCCGGTGGAAAGAAAACCGAGCAAGCATCCACTTCTGCCCACACTCCCCTCCTTGGGGAAACCTGGTTAAAACCTGTTCCTCTTACCCACTAAGGCCCAGGAAATTAAATTATACTCTCTTAAAAAGACAATGAAATTTATATTAAGTCCTCAAGAAAGTGGACAGGGGAGATCCTCAGGCTTATAAAAGGTTATTGGGATAAAAACAGAGAGAGGAAGTAAAGCCCTCAGTTTGAACAGAGCATGTGGGGCTATCCAGGCTCCCAGGCTACCAGAATTCCTGGCTTCCTCACAGCTGGTGGGCCCCACAAGAAGAGACTAGGTTAAGATCCTCTCACTGAAACTGCGCCATCCACCCAAGAACCAAGCAGGCCTGACACTTGACTCTGTGGTCTGGCTCCAACAGGCTTCCTTTTGCTTTTTGCTTTTGCTTTTTAATTAAAAACCAAGTAGGCGCTCAAGGAAACAATGACGAATAGGACTGACAAGACTGGGAACAGAACTGAACTAAGAGCTGCCAGGCTCCCTACTGAGACCTACAAACGCGGACCCGAGGCAATTACAACGCATTCGTCATCTCATTTCTGGGCCTCTGCTTGATCCAAGATACTTCCTTTAAAAAAAAATAAATTAAAATGCCTCCCTGGTTCAGCCTTAGCTGGCAATGGGTCTGCAGACGAAAACAGGCTCTACAGTATACGTCCTGCTACACCAGCTTGGGCGCCGTCCAGGCACCACAGAAAGTTCTCCTCTGCTCCTAAAGCGCACTTCATGTCTCAGGAAGATCGACAGCGAGTAGCGCCCTGGAGGGAGGACACACTAGAGAAGGGGTATGTGGGATGTTCTGAAGGAATTAACGCACTTTCTATGCTTCCATTTTCAGGTCTGGAAAGTGAAGGTGCTAGTATATCCAGTGTTGCTTTTCAGTCAACAGGTCCTACAATCACAAGTGCTAGCACCAGCAGTTGCTGCGTGTGACCTTGGGCAAGCTGCTTAACTCTCCCAAGCTTTGGCATATTTTCTGAAAAACAGGGATGGTGACATCTGCCTTTCAAGGATGTTGCTCACATTAGATGAAATAAGGGAAGTAAATTGCCTCGAACAGGATCTAGCCAGAGTAGGTGTTTTACAAAGTTAACAGGCTATCATCATCATTCCCTATCAATTAGTGATGATAAAAGGTTAAAAGAAATAAAATACAGGAATGCAAAAGTGCCTTATCAATTATATTGTATGTGGTTTTTATAACTTCAGTGGTCTGAGGCTAGTGAAGGAAAGTTACTTTTTGCCCAAGTGCAAACACGTGATGAAAATAGTGCTGCTTCTGATCAACATGCATGCAAATAACTTAGCACACAGAAAGTCTCTCTCCATTTCAATGGAGGCAGCATTTACTGAGAACACACCGGATACCAGGTTCAATGAATTTGAAGTGCATTCGATCGTGCTTTCTTCATGAATCCACAATCTAAATCTGCACTGTCCAACACTGTAGCCACTAGCCACCTGAGTTATCTAAATATAAGTTATCTAATTAAAACAACAGAAATTCAGTCCTTCAGTAACACTAACCACATGTCAAGTGCTCAAGAGCTACAAGTAACTAGCAGAAACTGGATAGCACAGCTGTACAACATTTCCATCGCCACAGCACTGAAATAATTCATTACATTGCAATGTGTTAAGGACCTGAATAATGTTAAACACGAAGGGTTTAAAGAGGAAGGACTGGTTCACTTTTCTGAAGACAGTACAGGATAGCTGCAGAGAGGAGGTAACCTTTTAGGACTTGAAGGCATGGAGAGGGAAGGGCAGATCCAAAACTGAGGAGCAGTGCAGGTGCGGGCACAGAGACATCAGGTGCAGACGGTGTTCAGGGAGTCTAACCTACACTGCCAAGACTGGGGTAGAAGGGGACATATATTCTAGAAGTTAAGCTGAATTGGACTTTATTCTCTAAGCAAATAATAAACCATGCAAAAGTTTTATATATAGGAATAAGGGGATCAAATCTGAAATCTTATTTAATATGCTGGCTTGTACAGAAGGAAAACAAACAATGACAAAATCCACTTACCTCCACTTAGTAATTTCATGACCAGCCAAAGTTCATCTTTTACCACAAAAGAGGTGTAATAGGTCACTACGTTGGGGTGGCTGCACTGACTCATGGCTTGAATTTCTTTCTATTAAAAAAAAGCAAAACATGACACAGTAGTACCATGGGGTGGAAATTGGGAAGCAAAACACAGGTGAACCACAGCTGAGCATCTGGCTAACTTCCTACTTAAAAGCATACGTGGGG